TATATATATATATATATATAAATATTTATATATAAATATATACATATATATTTTATTTTGAAAAAACTTATGTTCCCTTTAAATGTTGTCCATAAAGGAAGACTTTTATTTTTTTAAACTCCGCCCCGGAAGTTAGGTTGGACCTTGACCGGTTGTTGTTGTTTTTCAGTAGCGCGCTCCACACACCTCGCGCTTGGTGGTCCTGATCGGACGCAAAAATGAGTCTTCCGATGAAATTCTGGACCATGGTGGTAAACATTCTTTGTATACCAATGCATGTGATCAATGCGGTCGGGCTTTATGAAGGATATAAACGCATCATGCCTATTTTCCTCAAACGCTTCTCTGTAATGTACAATAAAAAAATGCACGAAAGGAAAGCGGAGTTGTTTCGCAGCCTGTCCGAGTACATCAAGCCTGGTGGGAAGCTCACTATTCTGGAAATCGGCTGCGGCACTGGAACAAATTTTGAGTTCTACCCGCCAGGCTGCAAGGTGATCTGCACCGATCCGAACCCGCATTTCCAAAAGTATCTGGACACAAGCATGAAGCAGAACGACCACCTCACCTATGACCGATTCGTGGTGATCTCGGGTGAGGACATGGCTTCAGTAGGGGACGAGTCGGTGGACGTCGTTGCGTGCACCCTGGTGCTCTGCTCGGTCCGAGACATCCCGCAAACCCTGAGAGAGGTGCTGCGCATCCTGCGACCAGTAAGCTTTTAATGTGTGGAGAATATTTCATTAGATTAGACTGCAGCCACCTAAAGAAATGTATAACTGAAGAGAAATCATTACTTCTCAGTTTTTCCTTTCTGTCAGCTTCTGTAAAATTAGATTCCTCCACCCCCCCCCCCCTTTTTTTTTTAAAGGACAGAAATAACTTTTTACAATTGCACTATACGCTTACAAATTGAGGATATGGGCTATAAATTATTAACAACCCAAACTTATTTAACAGACATACATAGGATAAACAAACTCATCAGGATTTTCTTACATAAAAATAATACAACTATGGAATAAATATGTTAAGAGACATTAATATACATTAAAAGATATGTAAAAAATAACAAATATGATACAATAATAAACCCTGCAATTATTATAGAGAGATTACTGATTACTGTTAAATATGACATGATTTCCTTCAATTGAAAGCATCAGGCTTCACAGTACAGTTATGCAACATGTAGCACAGGAACTGGCCAAATCCAGCCCACAGGAAAATGCCTTTCACTCATTTTGTTTTTGTTTTTTTTTTTTGGGGTGAGAAATGAATACCTCCCAGTGTGATATTAAAAACTGTAAAGAGAATCAAAAGGAATAGGGAAAGAAGAAGAAGGAAGAAGGTTTTGAAGTCATTTTTGAGTTTAGCGTCTTATTAAAATTGCATTAAGCATTTGTGGTTTTGAGTTTGACCTTATAGTTGGCTCACAAATAAAATTATTATTTGTGCAATGTTTGGAAATTATTTCTGCCAAAAAGATATATAAAAAAAAAGGAATATAGATAAGTGATAAAATCGATTCACCCTAAGCTAGATGTCATGCGTACAAATAATAAACCTTTTTTTTTTCTCAGGGTGGTGCTTTCTTCTTCTTGGAGCATGTGGTTGCAGATCCCTCAACATGGTCATACTTCTTCCAGCATGTCCTCCAGCCTGCATGGTACTACTTTGGGGATGGATGCGAGGTTACCCGGGCAACCTGGAAATACTTGGAGGAAGCTGGATTCTCCAAGCTCAAACTTCGACACATTGAAGCACCGCTTGTCTTTATCGTCAAACCGCACATCGTAGGCTACGCAGTGAAATAAGCCACAACTAATGACTTCTGTATGTAAAATCCCCAAAAAAATTAAAAACAGGTTATAACAACAACCACCATCTGAATATTGTTACTTTGCCTGTTGCTTGTGAGGCCTTAATAAGAGGGGAAAGGAGGAAGCACCTTAAAGTTTGAAATAATTGCTTTTTCTTAAACTAAGACTATTGGCACTTACAATACTAATTTGTATGGTAGTATTAAAGCAAATATTATTGATTTCATATAATCAAATAACCATGCATTAGTAGAAGTAGCTGTACAAGCACTTTATCTCTTAAGACACTTATCAATGTTGATACAACATAGTTGTATTTTAAATGCTTAAGAATAAAATATTCATATTTTTGCAAAATGTAAAATGTTTCCTTCTTCTATTGGACTCAGCTGGGGTCACACCTTTGCTGCGTCTCAATTCGCAGGCTGCGTACTTGGTAGGACGCATTTTGAGGCCGGTGACGT